TGTTTTAATATTAAGACATGGTTTAATCCAGTCCTCTCAAGAACCAACTATGTGTAAGTTGATGTTTTAATATTAAGACATGGTTTACTCCGGTACTCTCAAGAACCAACTATGTGTAAGTTGATGTTTTAGTATTAAGTCATGGTTTACTCCGGTACTCTCAAGAACCAACTATGTGTAAGTTGATGTTTTAGTATTAAGACATGGTTTACTCCGGTACTCTCAAGAACCAACTATGTGTAAGTTGATGTTTTAATATTAAGGACTTAATACTAAAACATCAACTTACACATAGTTGGTTCTTGAGAGTACTGGAGTAAACCATGTCTTAATACTAAAACATCAACTTACCTGTAGTTGGTTCTTGAGACTCGCAAAAATTCAAATTCTCACATGAAACATCCTTAAACAACTTTTCATGTCTACATCCAAGGTCAAACATCTACATCCAAGGTCAAACATCTACATCTAAGGTCAAACATATACATCCAAGGTCAAAACCTTAAAAAATGTTTACATCATCAGACACATAAACTTAAAACCAAAACTTTCAAATACCTTCAGAGATCAACACTTTATTACAGGAGTAGCTTATGACTTATCAATAAAACATCAACTTTCCTGTAGTTGGTTCTTGAGAGTACTGGAGTAAACCATGACTTAATACTAAAACATCAACTTTTTCTTTAAAAAGAACCAGTTTTAACGACAGGGGTCGTATTTTTACCAGTTACTCGTTAAGTTATTCTAGACTTACAATTCTTTCCTGAAAAATAAGTTTTGTATTTTTTTTTACGAATTGTTTAATTTTTTTGACTTATCAAACGTTGATGTGATTAAAAATTCTTTTCGTTAAAGAAAAGTGTTAAATTTTTACGAATTCTCTCCAAATACTTTAAGAGAGAAACATCGCCATCATGCTGAGGCTACCAACAGCAGCGTTCCTGGTGCTTTACACTCGGTCACCCGACCTACGATTACGCACTCAAGTCAGATGGACTTTTTGGAATTCACGGAACTCTTCCGATCTTTTCTAGTACGCATGCGTAAGGATTTGAAGAACTTGTTCGAACAAGTTTCCGTCACTGTTAGAGCTGTTAACGAACCATCCGTTTCGAACCCCAAACAGATTCAAAACGGAATAAAAGTACAGCAAAATAAAATGTTGGGTAAGTCATTAGGATGTAAGATGTTTCTTTTAATCCAGTATCAGACAAATTTCTGTCTGCTGCGGAGAATCAAGCTCAGAATTATAGAGTTGTAAATCCTAAAACTTACCTTGAGCTACAGGAAAACTAAAGTGTAAATAAAGAAAAAAACAAAAACGGAAACAAAGACTGCTTAATATAATTTACCTGTTTAATAAAGACTGCTTAGTATAATTTACCTGTTTAACAAAGACTGCTTAATATAATTTACCTGTTTAACAAAGACTGCTTAATATAATTTATCTGTTTAACAAAGACTGCTTAGTATAATTTACCTTGTTTAACAAAGACTGCATAATATAATTTACCTGCTTTCAACACTACTCAATCAATGTCTTCTGGTCAAGTCTAGCTTGCTGACCGTGGGTACAGATACATACATATTATTTAAAATACATGCTTGTGTTTTGTAAAGTTGTTTCTTTTTTTCTTCTAATCAGCTATTATATTATCTTATACTGAGGTATTACCAGGAAAATCCCCTTTTTTAACAGTTAGGTTTAATGTCTGAATTAACGTACAATTATTTTTGAATTTATAAAACGCTCTAAACTAAGGCATGAAAATATCGTACTGGTTTAAAAACTGTGAAGGATTATATAATTCGATCAATTAAAAATATTTGGTTTACATTTACAAATTTCAAATTCCTCTGGTTGGCTTTAACAGTTTATCGTTGTTTCCCTAGGCCTATTGTCCAGGAATACTCCCTGTGATTACCATTCAAATAACCAAAGAAAAAAAATTTGTGATGCTATAGCTGCTGCCAGTATTGTGACGAATTGTACTGGTGTGGATACTTCAAAGGTTATGGTTATGGGCATTGTCGAGTTTCAGAACTTCCTAGCGACCAACCAGGGGGAGAACCAATCGCACGAAGAGGTGGCCGCCTTGATAAAGGTGTATTGTTGTTGTTGTTGTTTATCTGGTCTTGTTTGTACGTTACAGCTGTTTATAGTAATTATTAATAGCCTTCTAGAGTAAGGGTTAACGGAGTATTCTTATTTTATTAATAGCTTTTATTTCAACCGATTGTAACATTCCGATTCAACATAATCAAATTAAACCATAATATCGCGCTAACAATAACTACTGAAAAATTAAACTATTACTTTATAGAAACTTACATTTAATACTGTCTTACTTTCATAAAACTTACATTTAATGCTGTCTTACTTTTATAAAACTTACACTTAATACTGTCTTACTTTCATAAAACTTACACTTAATACTGTCTTACTTTTATAAAACTTACATTTAATGCTGTCTTACTTTTATAAAACTTACACTTAATACTGTCTTACTTTCATAAAACTTACACTTAATACTGTCTTACTTTCATAAAACTTACACTTAATACTGTCTTACTTTTATAAAACTTACACTTAATACTGTCTTACTTTCATAAAACTTACATTTAATACTGTCTTACTTTTATAAAACTTACATTTAATACTGTCTTACATTCATGAAACTTACATCTAATGCTGTCTTACATTCATGAAACTTACACTTAATGCTGTCTTACTTTCATAAAACTTATATTTAATACTATTTTCTTTTATAAAACTTACACTTAATACTGTCGTACTTTTATAAAACTTACATTTAATACTGTCTTACTTTCATAAAACTTACACTTAATGGTGTCTTACTTTCATAAAACTTACATTTAATACTGTCTTACATTCATGAAACTTACATTTAATACTGTCTTACATTCATGAAACTTACACTTAATGCTGTCTTACATTCATGAAATTTACACTTAATGCTGTCTTACATTCATGAAACTTACAGTTAATGCTGTCTTA